ATTTCTCCTCAGATGAGATCTGAGACTCTGTATCTCTTAGTTGAGTTGAGTTATCTCACTTCCAAAGAGAAAGTTCCTTCAATCTGTTGTTTGATATATATTCTCACATGTATATTTTCTCTGATTGTTGTTTTGCTACAGACTTGGATAAATGGGTTTCTTTGCTGTATGCTATGTGTGTTCATCGTTGAACTAGTATTTGGTGGGAAGAGAATCAAGTTTTGATATATAAAACTTGAGGCCCTCCTTTTCCCATTAACAAATAGCAATCAGGAGGTTAGCAAGAACCTTAAAATTACTTCCCCTAGACTAACAATATTTAAAGGAGCAAATATAATTCTAGCTTGGTATTTCCTCACTCTAAGGAGAACAGAGTGGTGGCCTCAGGCCCCAACCTTCTGGTTCCCTTTCTGGCAAGAATTAAAGTTTTCCTCAGAGACGCTAGAGATATCTATTCCTATGAGGAGACACTAGAGATATCAATTCTTGCTTCTCTGTGGGCCAAACTGAGATGGTCTTGCTACTTATATATCACATTTCCCCCATTAGAATGTGAACTCTGAGGAAAGGGGCTGCTTTTGCTTTTTCTTTGTATCCTCAGTGATTAGCACAGTGCCTGGCACACAGTAAGTGCTTGATAATCGTTTTCATGGATTCATTGGCTGGTTAAAGTTACAGAGGGCCAACTGAAGGGAGAGAAAGATTCTGGGAAGAAACCAGCATAAGAGGAGACAGCCAGCTTCTATCATGTCCCTGTCTTCAGATCACTACACTAGAAACTTCAGGGAATTTCTCCTTGGGCTAAGATATCAGACTTTCTCCCAAGGGTGAGAGTAACTGTACCAGTCAATACACGAGTTCCCGACACAGATGAAATCATGGGTAAGTCCCAAAAGGGAGGAAAAAGGGCAGGGAGAACTGTCCATGTCAGTATCTCACCCCTATAGGCTATAAGCTCCATAAAGTCAAGCCTTGTATTTTACATGTATTTTGTGCATTCCCTCACACAGTTATAGAGTTACTCCGTTTCGCAAAATAGGTGATTAATAAATGTTCATCATCACTATGACTTAAACCTTTAATGACCTTTCTATTCTTTTAATTCCTATAATATTTAGGACATAAAATGTAATCATTAATTATATATTTGTTTAGTTCTTTTGTTATATTTATTTCTATACTATTCCTAATGTTATCATGTGCTTTGTAACTAGGCAGTGAGGCCCTCTAGGGTGGAGATTCCCTCTTATATTCTCCTTCCCCTCCCCACACCATTTGTTGTTCAGTTGTGTCTGACTCTTCATGACGCCGTTTGGGGTCTTAACAAAGATATTAGAATGATTTGCTATTTCCTTTTGCAGCTCATTTCACAGATGAGGAAACTGAGACAAACAGGGTTAAGTGACTTGCCCAGGGTCACACAGCTAGCAAATGTCTGAGGCCAGATTTGAACTCAGGAAATTGAGTCTTCCTGACTCCATGCCCAGCACTCTATCCACTGTGCCACCTAGCCGCTCCTTACTCCACACCATAACACCTAACTAAGCACCTAAGTGGTTCTCAATAACCCCCCCCAAAATGGTAATATATCAGGGCTAGAAGAGACATTGACCAAACATTCTCCAAATTAATTTGAGCCTTGAGCATTTGGGGATGTGAACTATCTCAGCAGAATCCACACATGTTGGATAAGGGGGAGGTTGAGAACATGAGCTATTCTGAGGAGAAAGGGAGGTTGGAGAAATACTGAAACATGGTGAAAGAAATTCACATTCATGTACCAGAGGCTGGACCAGAAGCTGAGCCAGCAGACTAAATTGAACTCCTTGAGACCATGGACTGTCTTTTGCTTTTCTTTGTCCCCGCAACACTTAACCCAGTGCCTGGCACATAGTAGGCACTTTTAATATATGCTGTTGACTGACTGCCCGCCTGCTGCTAGCACATGTGGAAGAGGTCAGGGAGCCTGCTTTCACGGAGGCACCATCCTAATTTGCACACTAGAGAATGCACAAATGTTCTCTAACTGGTTCCAGTCCACAAACCAAGTGGTAAAGAGACAGGCTGACTGCTGCACCAGAAATGGGATGCATTCAATAAGCACTACCCAGCCAAAATGAGCCTCTTTTCCCCTGCTCTTCCCTGCTAGGCTGGTGTTCAAGCCAGGAGGATGAGCCGCCGTGGCCCTGGGCCCTCTGTCCCCCAGAGCCAGCATGGAGCAGAACACGTGGCCCTCCTTTTTCTTCTGTCTTTGCAGTGTCTCTTCTTGCCTGTGTTCAATCAGTCAACTAGCATTTATTAAGCACCTACTATGTACCAGGCACTATGCTAGGTGCTGGTGAATGAGTGAAGACAGCTACAACCTTTTGAACATCAGAAGATCAAGAGAGTGAACCACCAGGAGTCTAGGAGCTGAAGTCAGTGCCGGGATTTTTCTAGAAGCCATCCAGAAAAGAACAACCTGGTGGATCCAGCACAAGTCAAAGGCAGCCAAGAGGGAGCTACAGTGATTCATCTGTCAGCTCTGCTGAATTAGGAAGTGAACTTGGTGGGGTCACATGACATTTAGAAACTACTCTAAGTGTAAGCCCACTCTCTCCAGAGACCTAGGTGGTATAAGGGAGAGGGTGCCCCCAGGGAGAAGGGAGGGAGAAGGGAATATTTTGTAACTTTTGACATATCCTTGAAATAAATATCCTTTTATAAAAGAGGGAAGAGAATAAACATTTCTATAGCACCTACGTGTGCCAGGCACTGTGCTAAGCTCTTTATAAATATTGCCTCATTTGATCCTCACCACAATCCCGGAAGGTAGGTGTTATCCTTTCCTGGTATTATCCCTATTTTACAGTTGAGGAAACTGAGACAGAAGTTAAGTGACAGCTATTAAGTAAGAGGCTGGATTTGAACAATGGTCTTCCTGATTCCATGCTAATTGGTGCTAATGGGTTAAGTGAAACTGGGATGCTAATCACTGGTAACTAATATTGGAGAGAAGTACCAGATTGGGGATCTGCCATTAGCATTAAAGAAAGCCGCTGAGGCAGCTAAGTGGTGCAGTGGATACAGCATGGGCCCTGGAGTCAGGAGGACCTGAGTTCAGATTCAGCCTCAGACACTTTATACTTACTAGCTGTGTGACCTTGGGCAAGTCACTTAACCCCATTGCGTCCCCAAAACAAAACAAAAAAAAAAGCCAGTGCACTGCCCCTCTGGGTTACTTGTAGAACCTTGGAATTTTAAAGGGGAAAGATGTATCCAGCTTTGCTCTGAGAGAGTGAGCTCAGAGTAGGACTCTACTAGTTTCATTTGGAATGATTGCTACATGTAATAATTATTTTTGATACATATGTATATGATTCAATATAGTGATACATTCAAAATGTTAATTCATAATTAATCTTCTAATTAAGTCTTACCTTACCATACAAAGAAGACATCCCTGTGTTCTCAAAGACTATGCCAGTGGATGACAAATTCTCCCAGATTCTTCCAAGCTGGATATGGGCCTAACAATGGATCACATGTCTGTCATCTATGCACTGGAGAGGCCTAAGAAAGCCCTCTAAGGGGCAGAAAAAGCACAATCTTCATGGATAGAAGGAAAACCCCAATCTAATGAAATCAAAGATTCTGAATTTAAGTAAGCCCATAATTTAATGTTTTAGTTCAAGGGGGGAAAAATCACACCAGCACTGAAATTTTCTCATAGATCCTTTATTCCATGTGAAACAGTAGATTCTGCAGAACAAGGATTAGAAAATGCTGATCTAATATAATTTCTCATTTTATAGATGAGGAAACTAAGGGGAAATGAGCTTGTTGGTAGAAGAGCTAATATTAGAACTCATCTTTCCAGACTCCTAGTTCAGTTGTTGACTGGATTACTTTGGCTTCACTCCAGTGCTAACATCTGACAGCACAGGTTGCCTGGATTACTTAAAAACCTACAATGAAGAAAACCCCTCTGCCTCTTAGATACCTCCTGCCCCTCATAGCTAGCCTCAATCCTTTGAGTTATAATTTCACTTTTTCCTGGCCAGTCTTTGGTAGAAAAGAATGAAGAAATAACAACTGGTGTTAATTTTCAGCAATCCCTGGGATTCTGTGAACACCTTATGACCAGTCCCTAATTGGTTCATTCTCCTTTCTACTCTCCCATAATCATGGAAGCATGGAAGGATCTGTTATGTATAGAATTAGGCAGCTAGGTGGCACAGTGGATAGAGTGCCAGGCCTGGAGTAAGAGGACTCATCTTTCTGAGTTCAAATCTGGCCTCAGATACTTACTAGCTGTGTGACTCTAGACAAGTCACTTAACCCTGTCTGCCTCAGTTTCCTCATCTGTTAAATGAGCTGGAGAAGGAAATGGCAAATCACTCCAGTATCTTTGCCAAGAAAACCTCAAATGAGGTCACAAAGAATTAGATATGACTGAAGCAACTGAAAAACAAAAATAAGGTTTGCACTAACTGATTTCTAAGTCCCTTTCCAGCTCTAAGTCTAATTGTCCTATAATGAAAGGAAGGGAGATGGAAAGAATCCAACCAATAACATACTCTGTGAAGGATCCAGGCCTTATACTTGCTCATCAAGGTGGAGAAAGCGCTCCAGGTGCCCCTCTGCATGCTGTGGGTATGGGTCATATCTCTTCCTGCCATGGGGAGCAAGTTTAGGGGGAACAAAAAAGGGAAAGAATGAAAGAAAGAGGGAAAATGTGAAAATCTAGACCAAGAAAGAATTCCAAAATAGGCTAATGGGAAAAGAAAAAATATCCTTGTCGTATGGTCAACAAGGAAGAACTAAGCGGTCAGAGAAGCAGAGAATGACTCACGAGGGAGAGATTTCATGGGTTTCCAAAATAGGCAGGGTCATTGCCAGGTAATCACTCTCAGTTAATGTTTTCCAATCCTTCTGTCACCTTCCACTCCCTGTTCCTTTCATTTCTTAGGTACATTCTGTCCGTGCTGAACAGTGAAGTTGCATTTGATAGGGTACCCCAAAGGGCTGCTGCAACCTTAGAAATGAGGCCCTGTTGGCTTGTCCAGGATCCAGGGACCACTGAGAACATTGGTCCCAATCATAGGAGGTAAGTCAACAAGTCTTTGCTGGATGCCTACTATGTACTCAGTCCTTTGCCAGACCTGGTTAGGGAGACCAGGATTTCCATTATCAGGCTCCAAACTCTATTTCCAATCTTATTCCATATCACTTTTTTCCATATATGCCACATTCCAACCCAATTGTCCTATTCTCCATCTTGCCCTCTCTCACCTCTCTGACTTGGTTCCCCAACCTGGGGGCCATCCATGTACGCTATGAGGCCTGCCCTGTTCTTATAGTTGAAAGTGATCTCTCTCTCCCCCAGTTTTAAAATGCTTTATTGATGCTATTTTTAACATATTGCTGTCATTTATCAATTATCCCACTCAGAGTAGAACCCTCATTTGTAACAAAGAAGTACAGTTTAGCAGCACAAATCAATCTGCTGGCTATGTCTGAAATATAAGTCTCATTCTGAACCTGCAGTTCACCACCTTTCTGCTAAGAGGTCCTCTGAAATCATGGTCCTCCTCAATTTTTCATACTGCTCAATCATACCTTACCTTTGTACTCATCTCATTCCTTTTTTTTATCATAGTAATTTCTATACATGTAGCTTTCCCATTATTACATTTTTCTGCTCCTTAAAGCAGCAACTGTGTGACATTTATCTTTGCATCTCAAGCCCCAGGAACAAGGGCTCGTGTATTCCTTCAGTTCTTTAATGTATATATGATGTCATTGGTGAGGGTACTTCTTCTGATGGTATAGACAGCCAGTTAATAAGCATTCATTAAGTACCCACTGTATGCCAGGCACTGGGTTAAGTGCTGGGAATACAGAGAAAAACAGTTCCTGCCCTCAAGGATCTCACAGTCCAATGGAGTATAGATTACAACTCACCCTTGGCTTCTCATCCTGGAAGACTCTTTCCAAGTCCTCCCATAAATCCTCTATATGGGGCCTGCCCAACATTCTAGGAGCCTTCCTCTCTGTCTTTTAACATTACATGAGTACCAGCATAATCCTGGGGCTGTCCATCTATTAAATCTCATTCTTACTATATGATTACCCCACCTCCTTTTCCAATCCTACATCTTTTTTTTTTTTTTTTGGCTAGGCAATGAGGTTAAGTGACTTGCCCAGGATCACACAGCTAGTAAGTGTTATGTGTCTGAGGCCGGATTTGAACTCAGGTCCTCCTGACTCCAGGGATGGTGCTCTACCCACTGTGCCACCTAGCTGCCCCTAATCCTACATCTTCTGGACAATGTCTTTTCCTCTGCTTCTTGCAAACAGACCTCCATGGATAATATTTTGCAGCCAATTATGTGTACCATATATCGCTACTTTGCCTTTTGTTTCATTGGCTATTTTGGTTCTATGAAATTTATAGTGTTTCATGATACATAATCATATAGCATCACTGGAAAGACATTGATGATTAAAAGGTATGTGTGTATATATATGTGTGTATATATGTGTGTGTATATATGTATATGTGTGTATATGTATATATGTATATATATGTGTGTGTGTATACATATATGTATATGTGTGTGTGTGTATATATATGTATATATATATATTTTCAGGGAGGAGTGTGGTGTCATCAAAAATGTTGCTCTTTCCCTAAAACCAAACTAGTCCATTGTCCTATGCAATTATACATAGTGCCTGCCCAACATATACATACTGATAAACTAGTCCAATGGACTGTCCTTCCAATCACATATCATATTCTAGGCAATAGACATTCCTCATCCAATTTATTTGACCTGTGTACATTGTTGAGCCAAACTCTTTTGAGTAGTTAGGGATCATATTTAGAAGAGTTCTGTAGTATTTGTGAGCTTGCTAAAAATCAACACAGTGTTCCCTACAAACAGGAATATATGGACATTAATGGTTTGGGGTTTTTTTTAATTAAATGAAATAAATCCAGGAAAGAATAAAACATGATGCCTGCCCTAGTGGAGACTAAAATTTACTGGGGCAGCCAACTCTAATGCACACAAAATAATGAACAAACTAGACATTATAAAAGCAAGTATAAATTTTGGCCTCCTAAGGCTATAGGAATTTAGAAAAACGAGTGAGAGTATCAGGTAAGGTTTTACATTGGAGACAGGACTGGAAGAATAGATAGGATTCAATAAAGCATATACAAATAAAACAAATAGAGAAAAAGTCCATCCATACACTTGGTTTAAGTATTATTTCTTCCATGAAGCCTTCCCTAATTTCTCTGAAGTCTCATTGTATTTACAGTTTGGTTTATACGAGGTGTCCCAAAAGTCTTGGTGCAGTTTTAAGCTTTAATAATTCTGTGTGTCTGTGTCTGTGTCTGTGTGTGTCTGTGTATGCTGGTGGAAAGGGAATAAGCATTCATATAGAGCCTTCTCTGTGCCAAGCACTGTCCTAAGTGCTTTACAAATATTATCTCATTTGATCCTCACAACAACCCTAGGAGGTAGGTGCTGTTACTCTCCGCATTTTATAGTTGAGAAATTGAGGCACATAGAGGTTAAATGACTTGCCCAGGGTCACACAGCTAGTAAGCATCTGAGATCGGATTTGAACTCAGGTCTTCCTGACTGTAGGCCCAGCCCTCTATCTACTTCTATTCACTGTGTCATCTAGCTGCCCCAAAATACTCTCTCTCTCTCTCTCCCTCTCTCTCTCCCTCTTCCTCTCTCTATCCCTTTTCCTCCTCTCCCCATCCCTCTCCCTCTGTAAGCTGGGGATCAAAAGATAAGGTTAGAGAGACAGAGTAACTATGCTAATGAGAACTTCCAGATGGGAAAACAGGACTGGATGTTATTCCTAGATGCCTCTCCCACGTCAGACAGAAACTGGGAAGGCCTTTCTGCCCCCAAGTTTGGCTCCAGGCACCGGGAGCTAGAACTCTGCCTGGCAATGTAATCAAGGTGATGTGAGGGCTTGGAGCCAAGAGCCAAACTATGTCCCTTTCTTTCTGGCCTGCCTTCCAAAAACACACCTAAGCCTTTTGTCTTAAGGAAAAAAAAAACACTTTCAATTCTACCCCCTCCATTTTGCCACACCAAAATGGGGCACACCTTGGGCCCCATTGCATAAGGATCTCACGAAAAGGAATTGTCCTTGGGGCAGTAGCCACTGGTAGTATTTACAGCCGAAAAACAATTCTCCTCTCACGAGAATAAACTCTAACCCTCTTCCTCTCCATCTTCCCCACTCCTAGCTTCCATCATTTACTCTCTCTGTTCTTTGCCCTTCTTCTCTACCACCATCTTTTCCTCCCCTTCCTCCTCTTCCTCCCCTTCCTACAAGGCATCTGGCGTTCTCCATAGGTGATCTTATTTCAGTCTCAACATGATCACAGAGAAGTAAATATCCCCAAGAAACTCTGTGCCTTTGTCTTTGCCAACATCCCTACAATGCATCAAAGAGACATGGGGGGGGGGGGGCTGGAGAGGTGCTGTGGTCGGGATCTGGAAGGAAGACTCAGAAGGAGTGGTGCAGCCCCTGAGGCCCTCTCACTCAGGTACAGAATCCTGTCTGAAAGGCACTGTGACAGGCCAGCTTGTGCAGGCCCCAGCTTCCATTCTCAAAGACAGATTGTTTTTGGAAAAAATCCCAGTGGCATCCAGTGTGAGTTTATTTGAAATATGGAACTGTTTCAGGGCCTCACGTCAACTTGATGACATTGCCAAGTAGAGCTCTGGCTCACCTGTGCCTAGAGTCAAACCGAGTGGTAGACGGAGCCCCTCCCAGTTTCCACCTGGGGGCTCCTGTAAAAGTACGTGTTTCTGAGGGAGCCATGGAAATTATTCACATATCTCACCTCTAGAATCCTTCTCATTTGCCAGAAGAGAGTCATGGAATAATCTTAGCATTTGAAGGGCTCCTGGAGGTCAGCTAGGAGCCAATGCAGAAACCAATTCTATAGTATCCCTCACAAATAGTCACCAACTTCTGCTTGAACACTTCTGGTGCTGGGAAGCTCACTGCTATTATTGGACACTTTTGGTTGTTAAAAATTGTTTTGTATTTTGAATCAACATTTGCCTCTCCATAACTTCCATCAACTAGTCCTAATGCTACCCTTCGGAACTCCTCTCTTTTTCACATGAAAGCCTTGCAAAACCTTGAAGAGAGCTGTCAAGCTCCTCTCTTCTCTTATCTAGGCTAAATATAAATTAATCAATCAGCAAGCATTTATTAAGAACCTACTGTGTGCCCCGTGCCATGCTTTAGGCTTTTTGCCTACAGAGCCAAAAATAAAAAAGTCCCTGCCCTCATGTAGCTTACATTCTATTGGAATATAAATATCCCCAGTTTTTTCAACCATTCTTCATATAGTTTCTAGATCTAGTATCTGTCCTCTGAACAATATTCTTTCAAAAATGTGGTGTTCAGGGAAAGAATTTCTATTTTTTTTTTTTTTTTGGTGAGGCAATTGGGGTTAAGCAACTTGCCCAAGGTCACACAGTTAGTAAGCGTTAAGTGTCTGAGGCTGGATTTGAACTCAGGTCCTCCTAACTCCAAGGCCAGAGCTCTATTCACTGCAGCAGCTAGCTGCCCTCAGGGAAAGAATTTGAAGGCAGTTAGTTTGTGCAGTGGATATAGTTTTTGGACTTGGAGTCAGGAAGTCCTAAGGCAAGTCGTACCCTCTAGAGAATGTAAAGGAATACCCGTTTATCTAAGAAGGGCTGAAAATTATTCTGGTACCCAATCATTTTCCTGGTCATTTACTCTGATATTATGTCTCAACAGCAGAAAAGGCCAAGAACACTGTTCTCTGGAATCTGAGCTAGAATCCCAATCACTTATCCTATGATATTCAAATCCTACTTCTGATAATTACTATTGCCATGACCTTGGACAAATTACTTCTCTTCCCTAGATCTCAGTTTCCTTATTGATAAAATGAGGGTGTTAGATTAGATGGGAGGGGGAGAGGAGTACGCATTTATATAGCACCTACAATTATGTCAGGCACTTTGCGAACATTGTCGCATTTAATCTTCACAACCACTCTGCCAGGCAGGTACTATTATTATCTCCACTTTACAGCTGATCAAACTGAAGTAAACAGAGGTAAAGTGACTTGTCCAGGTCACCCAATCAGGAAGAGTCTGAGGCCAGAGTTGAACTTAGATCTTCTTGACTCCAGGCCCACAGCTCCATCCACTGATGGCTTCTGAGGTCCTTTCCAACTGTAGGTTTATGATCATATTTATTTGCTATCAAATACATGGCTTGTTCTTGGTCCATGAAGAAATAGTCACCACACTGGGGGCTTGAGTCATAACTTAATAATTATGATTATCCAAAATAGCTCACACAAAACCTGAGTTAGCAAGCAATTGAGTGAGACCCAAATTATGCATGTATAGCTATCTGTGTTGGTATTTCCATCCGCCTTGTTGCTATTGTCTTTCAGTAGTTTCAATTATCTCCAATCCTTTGTGACCCCATTTGGGGTTTTCTTGGCAAAGGTACTGGAGTGGTTGGCCATTTCCTTCTCCAGCTCATTTTACAGATGAAGAAACTGAGGCAAATAGGGTTAAGTGACTTGCCCAGAGAAGTCAGATTTGAATTCAGGTCTTCTTGACTTCAGGCCACATGCTTTATCTACTGCATCGTCTCGCTGCCCATCCCCCTACAACACTATGAATTCCATTAAGAAGGGGCTGCATTTTACTCCTCTAAATACTTTATCTGTATCAGCACTTAGTGCAGAGCTCTACATGTGATAAGTACTTAATAAATGTTTGCTTTATTTGTTGCTGTCTATAAATAATGCCCATACTTCAAAACTAAGCTCAAGTCCCAGACTCTCAAACACAATCCCTAAATGCCCAGCCCTTCTTTCTCTGAAATCTTTTCCTTATTGTCTAAACCGGGGGTGGGGAACCTGCAGCCCTGAGGCCACATGTGGCCTTCTAGGTCCTTGGGTGCAGCCTTTTGACTGAGGTCAAGTTTTACAGAACAAATCTTTTTATTAAGGGGATTTGTTCTGTGAAGTTTGGATTCGGTCAAAGGGCCACACTTGAGGACCTAGAAGGCCACATGTGGCATCAAGGACAGAGGTTCCCCACCTTTGGTCTAAACCATACAATTAATGCCTGGGTTCTATACCTTTCTCCAGCTGCTTCCCTTGATTCTGTTTCACTAGACTATACATTCCCTGAGCACAGGGACTAAATGTTCTATCCCCCTAACACGTAGAAGAGGGCTGAACACAGTAGATACTCAATAAATGCTTGTTGACTACTTCTCTTCCTAGCCCAACCTAATCATTTACTGTACTCTGACTTTCCTCAGTGGTTTACCCAAAGCTGTGCTATTCTCCCCAAGTATTCTGCAGTGTTAGCACAAAGGTATGAATTCATAGGCAGACATACTTTTTGCTTTTAAATTTTTTGACAACTTTTTTTTTACTTTTTTTTTGGAAGCCAGTGATCTGAAGTTTCCCGCTCAGAAGTTACCTTTTCCTGGAAGCCTTCCCCAATTAGATAAAAGGGTTATTGAACTGTTTCCCTTTAGCCTGACCCAAAGGTGTGTTTATTGGGAGCCACTTGTATATATATAAACATTAGGATTGCTTGTGTCTGGTTTGCTATGAAAGATTAGAATCTCCCTTAAGGACAAAGGTCCTGTTCTACCTAATAATAACAACAATAATAGCCCCCATCCATACTGCTCTTAACAACAGAAAACATTTATATGATTCTTCTGATAGCCCCTGAGAGGTAATTAGTGCAACTGTTGTTACTCCCATTTTAGAAATTAGGGAACAGAGACTCATTAAGGACATCAAGGACCTTACATATAGTCACTAGCATGTAATACGTGGTAGTCATTAATAAGGGCTAACATTTATATAGTGCTATATAGGTTTGCAAAGTGCTTTACAAATATCTTATTTTATCTTCACTATAACCCTAGGAGGAGATGAGTGCTATTAATGTACTCATCTTAAAGATGGGGAAACTGAGACAAACTTAGGTTAAGTGACTTGCTTAGGGTCACCCAACTGAGTATCTGAGACTGGATTTGAACTCATCTCCCTGATTCCAGATCAGGTGCTATATCCACTGAGCCACCTAGCAGAGTTCCTCTTAAACCCAGGTCTCCTGACTCCTTACTAATTCCACTCCACCACACAACCTCCTAATGAGCAGTGTCAGTACCTGGTATATGTTTGGGACATTGTCTTTTATTTATCTCCTTTTAAAATAATTTTTATTAATAGCTTTTGTTTTTGCATCACATTCATTTCTAAATCCTCCCTCCCCTAACCTCAGTACATTCTCTATGAATGAATAAACAGATGTCATGAGCAGTTTCTCTTTCGGTCTTTCCCAGTTGAAAATGGAAAATCTTTGAAGCACAGAGCTGCGGAAGAGGGGCCAAGGTAAGAAGTGTGTCTGTTGCACTGGTGACTTCTCTAGCCTTCTGAAAGTGCCGGCTTTACCCAACCAGGGGGACCACAGATGCAGTTTTCAATCTCTGTGGGTACTGCTGTCAAACTCCAATAGAAATGGTTCCCTGCAGGGTGCATAGTGACTTAGAAAACCACAAATTAACATTATTTATATTGTATTCTATTTTTTATTTATTTTGTTAAACATTTCCCAATTACCTTTTAGTCTGGTTCAGGATACACTGGGAGTTTCCTGGGTTTTGAGTTTGATACGTTTATTTCAGAGAATCCTCACAGAAGAATATACAGCTAAAGGGGGAAAGTCGTCTCTTGCTGAAAGTTGTAGCCCCATTGGGAAGGGCTTTCAGGGTCAAACAGACCTCTCTGCAATTTAATCTTAAGTGAGACTTTTGAACTTGTTTATAGAATCATAGATTGAGAGCTGTAAGGAACCTTAGACATCATGGACTTCTGCTCCCTCATTTTATAGATAAGGAAACTGAGGATCTGAGAAGTAAATGACTAGCCTATGGTCATATAGCTAGTAAGTGTGTGGGGATAGGGGCAGCTAGGTGGCAAAGTGGATAGAGCAAATGGCCTGGAGTCAAGAAAACCTGAGATCATATCTGGCCCCAGACACTTAGTAGCTGTGTGACCCAGAGCAAGTCACTTAACCCTGTTTGCCTCAGTTTCTCATCTGTAAAATGAGCTGGAGAAGGAAACGGCAAACCACTCCAGTGTCTTTGCCAAGAAACCCCAAAAAGGGATCACAGAGTCAGACATGACTGAAAACAACTAAACAACAAAATCTGAGGATAGGATTTTAATCCAAATCTTCCTTACTCCAAGTCTGAAACTCTATCTTACCACACCACTCTAGTTCTCTTGTAGTTTGAGATCTATCTACACAAGGTTGGATGGGTCATAATGTCTCATAACTGTCTTCCAACCTGTCCTGGAGGCTCTTGACTTTCCCTGAATTCTCCTGTCTGTTTCATCCCAATATGCCTCTATGTACCCATCAACTTACATGGAATGATCCACTTTCTGGCTCAGTCCTGTGGCTCTGAAATCATCTCTTGAGTCTATCCTGGTGCCCAGTCATCTATATTCCATGTGCTATCCTTACTGATGCTTGTTTAGTTTGTCTCCTGGTTCTAAGCCTTAATAGGGTCTTAGACTATAACGGAAAGGTAGAAGAAAGTTCAGTCAAGTGACCTGAGTTCAATACCTAACTCTGATCCTTATTAGCTACATGACCAGGGGCAAGTTACTTTACTTCTCTGAGGCTCAGTTTCTTCACCTGTAAAAGAGATATTAAAACCTATCCACCTCACAGAATGGTTCTAAGGAAAGCTCTCTCCACTCTTACTGGGCTAGCCTTGCTACGCCTCACACATGACATTCCATTTCTCATCTCTGCCCTTCCGTACAAGCTAGCTTCCATTCCTGGAATTCATTCATTCTTTACCTCTCCCTCCCTAGAGTACTTCAGAACTCAGCTCAAGGGCCATCTTCTATCTGATATTTTTCCTTATCTCCCCAGCTGCTAATGACTCCCTCTTCCCATTATTATGTGTTGATTTTTTAAAATCTATTTTATATGTGTCTGTAGATGCACTTGCCTCCCAGAATAGAATGTAAACTCCTTGAGGGCAGGGACTACTTCCCTTTTGACTGAATCCTCCCTCCCCCTCCCCAGCACAGTACCTGGCTCATAGTCAGCAGGTGCTTAAGAAATGCCAGCTGATTAATTAATTGACTTGTAAACCATAAAGTGTCATATAAATGTGAGCTATGATTTTTCTGTGAGTCATCTGCCTCACTCTTGCTTTATATCCTGATTCTGCTCCTAGCCCTTCACTATCTGCCTTGGCTTTTGATACTCTAGTATTAGGCTATCCAGGTTCCCTACTCCAGACTTGCTGCCCTGCTCCCAGTCACTGGTCTTAAATCCTGAAGAATCCAAAGAGATACATGTGCTACAGTGGTATTAAGTTTCCTTAGAAATTCCTGATGCTCCAGGATGAGGCAGGAAGAGGACCCTCAGTAACAGATATGTAGGATAGGAAGGAAGGAAGAAAGAAAGAAAGAAAGAAAGAAAGAAAGAAAGAAAGAAAGAAAGAAAGAAAGAAAGAAAGAAAGAAAGAAAGAAAGAAAAAGAAAGAAAGAAAGAAAGAAAGAGAAAGGAAGGAAGGAAAAAAGAAAAGAAGAAAAAATGAAGAAAAGAAAATTAGAGCAAGAGAATCAGTTGGAGGAGCTGGGACTGGAAAAAGGGAGTAGTTTTCCTGATACTTGTTTCTAATATTGGAAATTCAACTATGCCTCCCTTTAAGAAATGCTAAAATATACAAATTAGAATTCAAAAAGTATTTGTTGAGTGCCTACCAAGTGCCTGTCCCTGTTTTAGGTATTAGAGACAGGAAGATAAAAATCACTACCTGCAAGGAGCTTATATTCTATAAAGGAAAGAATATAATCATTGTTCAGTCATGTCTGGGTCTTCATGACCTCATGGATCATAGCATGCCAATGCTGCCCATGGGGTTTTCTTGGCAAAGATCCTGGAGTGGTTTGTCATTTCCTTCTCCAATGAATTAAGGCAAACAAGTTAAGTGACTTGCCCAGGGTCACACAGATTGTAAGTGTCTGAGGCCAGATTTGAACTCAGGTCTTCCTGAATTCAAGAATATGCAAGCATATAGATCAATACAAAATATATACAAAGTAATTGGGGGTAGGAAAAGCTTCATGTAAGAGGTAGCACTTGAGTAGCACTTTGAAGGAAGCTAGGGATTTTTTTTTTTTTTTTTGCTTTTTTGGTCAGGCAATCAGGATTAAGTGACTTGCCCAAGGTCACACAGCTAGTAAGCGTCAAGTGTCTGAGGCTGGATTTGAACTCAGGACCTCCTGACTGCAAGGCCAGAACTCTATTCACTGTGCCACCTAGCTGCTCCCAAAGCTAGGGATTCTTAGAGACAGAGCTAAAGAGGGAATGTTTGAGGCAAGGGGGACAATTTGTTTATACTGTAAAGCAATGGTGTCCAATTCAAATAGAAAGTGATCCCCAAGGCAGCATAGTGACTTAGAAAACCACAGATTAACATTATCTATGTAATATTGTATTTATTTATTTGTCAAGCATTTCCCAATTCTATCTTAATCTGGTTTCTCCAACCAGCCCTATGTGGCCTGTGGGCTGGAGTTTAACACCTCTACAGTAAAAAGTGTGAGGATGAGTAATATTTAATCAACCTGGAAAGTTAAACTAGAGTCAGATTATGAAAAATTTTAAAGGCTTTGCAGAGAGACTTATATTTTATCTTAGAGACAACAGAAAACTACCAAAGCTTCATGAGCCAGAGAGTACATTGATCAGACCTGAGCTTTGGGAATATCAATTTGGCATTTTTAAAGAAGAAAAACTATATGGAATTATTTACACTGTAAAACGATTTTTTGATATGCAAAATCATTCTCCATAGTTTCTTAAAATTGCAAGCAGAAATACCATCTTCTGCTTTAAGTAGGTTACACCAACACTATTTTCTCTAGTTCTGAAGCTGCCCTATTTTTATTCTCCTCCCAGCCCTGTTCTTGGCTTAGAGAGTTTCATTTACTTATTCATTCATTCATTCATTCATTCATTCATTCATTCATTTATTTATTTGATTTGATTTTTCAACATTTATTTTTATAAGATTTTAAGTTCTAAAATTTCTCCCTCCCTTTTCTCCTCCCTCCTGAAGACAGCATGGAATTTGATATAGGCTATATGTGTACAATCATATTTCCACATTAGTCGTATTGTGAAAGAAGAATCAGAGCAAAAGAGAAAAACCATGAGAAAGAAAAAAAAGAGAGAAGACGGTGTGCTTCGATCATACAGACTCCATAGTTCTTTTTCTGGATGTGGAGAGCATTTTCCATCATGAGTCTTTTGGAATTGTCTTAGATCATTGTATTACTGAGAAGAACTAAGTCCATCAAAGTCTATCACCGCACAATGGCACTGTCACTGTGTACAATGTTCTCCTGGGTCTTTCCAGGTTTTTCTGAAGTCTGCCTGCTCATCATTTCTTATGAAACAATAGTATTCCATTACATTCATATACCCCACCTTGTTCAATGGCTTTGAGACTAAAACCCCACCTGTTCCATAGTCTCATCCTGGAATTTCCCTCAGAGCCTGGGGTCTTCTTGCCCTGGAACATCCAATCATCCTTGTGACCTTCTCAACATGGAATGTTGAGCTCAGAGCTCTCCCCAAAGCAGATTTCAGTGAAGGTTAGTGGGAGAAATAAGCCTTACCTGTTCAATGACTTCTCGCTCATTGTTGACCACTGAAGAGGTAACATACTTATGATGGACACATGCTTAGGCACCTCGTGGGTTTATTTTTCTATATCTCATAGTAAATCAGTGGTTATTGGTTCTAGAAATTGGAGTGATAACAAAGGGATAAAACTCATCTTGTGGATAAAAAAAATGGTCATAAGGAGAGGAGTTGGTGGACAAAGGGGAAGAGAAAGAAATGAAGTGACTCAGGAATGTTGCAGCTCTTTACACCACGCCATTCATCATGAGGATAGTGAGAGATGCTGAGCCTCAGTTTGAGAAGTAAATTGAGGCTTTGTGGAGTGTAGTAACAAGACTACTGGGACAGAAATCAGATAAGACCTGGGTTCAAATCCTGCCTCAGACACATCATAGCTGTATGGTCATGGGCAAATCATTTAAATTCTCTGAACCTCAGTTTCCTTCTCTGTAAAATGAGGGTGATAATAAAACCTTCAATACTTGCCTCAGAGAGTAATGAAGACCAAATGTAATAAAGTATATAAATCAATTTGCAAACTTTAAAGTGCTATACATTTGTCAGCAATTTTTATTATTCAGTGGTCCATGCAAATCTAGGCTCCTGAGTGGAGGGATGGCAGTGCCCTACAGATCGATTTGAACCTGGAGACCTGTGTTGTGCAGCCACATAT